TCAAGAATAGAAAAGCAAGCATCCCATGTACTGTGTTGAAACTAGTCGATCAACAACCACAGGCCCACATGTGAGAAAAACACAAATTCAACATGGGGAGAGTGGGGTTAAGTTCTCACCTAACAGGTACTATGTAGGGGTATATCGCACACTTCTTGGGTGAAGGACTCAACTCCGACTTTATCTTACAAATGCAAACAATGTAACCTAATTGCATGTACCCTTATATCAATATGAAATTAAAAAAAAGAAATGCAGAATTGGTGACAAGATTTCTCTGCGAGTAGGAGGTTGGGGAAATTGGGTCTTTCAGGGAGTTCTCACAAGCTGAATCTTGGTCTCTGTGATCCCACTTAGTTTTCAGACCTTGAATTTCTATGATCTGTGTGGGAAAATCATGTGTATATGGGAAAATTCTTTTACTATATCCTTCAAATGGCTACAGAGCAGGGCAGATATTGCTTGCCCATTTTACAGGTGAAAGAACTGAGGCCCGGACATTTATAGCAGAAAGGGAAGAACTGCACACATGGTTGGCTGGGATGTTTACATGGAAAGGGTTCCCTGTCCCAGGACCTTTGGGTAAGGTGGTAAGAGTTGGGGGTGGGGATTCATGTGGAGTTAAAGGGAGGTTAGTACTCAGTCATTACTCTGGGTGGGAGGGGCTCATACCTGTACGTGCCAGCCCTCGAGGGGGTTTACAGTTGTGCAGCAAGCCTGCCTCAGGCAGTAAGCAGCCTCTTGGGCCACCACATCCCATCTTTTTTTCCTTCCCAGGTTGTTGGTGGGGTCAGCTGGGTCCAGGATTATGGGTCTGGAGAAAGAAGAGGAGTGGATCTCTGTCACACTCAGGACTCTGGTCTCTGGCACTCAAGTCGACGGGATTGTGCATGTCTCTGTGAAAGGTGGCCTCCCTGCAAGGTGAAGCTCTTGGTTCAGGATTAGAGAGATAACCTAAGCTGGCCCAATCAGAGTGAATCTCAGGGGGTTTGCTTGGAATGCTCCATTTTGTGCTGGAAAGTGTGTCACATGAGACACACTATAGGCTCGGTGCCTGTAGCACACTGGTTATGGCACCAACCCCATGCACTGAGGGTGGTGGGTTTGAACCTGGCCCAGGCCAGCTGAACAACAATGACAACTGCAACAAAAAAATAGCTGGGCATTGTGGCAGGGCACCTGTAGTTCCAGCTACTTGGGAGGCTGAGGCAAGAGAATCGTTTAAGCCCAAGAGTTGGAGCTGGCTGTGAGCTGTGACTCCATGGCACTCCACTGAGGACAATGTAGAGAGACTTTGTTTCAAAAAAAAAAAAAAAGCCCAGAAATGATGCAGCCACGAAGGAACGAGCCTGAATTCAATGGTAAAACCTGGGTAAGGCAGAGCTAAGCAATTCACAGAATGGGACCCTGATGACATTGCACACATTTGGATCATACCATACCAGA